GTAATTTGGTTGTAATGTAACCATGGTAACATAGGAAAAGAGGTGACTCCAGGGCAGGTGGAGGATAGGAGTCTGAACACAGGATTATTATTATTTATTTATTTTTATTGTTCAATAAGCCTCCAAGGGGCAAGAGGCTTTAAGTTGAGCCTGTATGTAATTCCCTTTTAAAACGGGGGGAAATGCATGTGGAGGATTTCTGTAGCCAGCTGTCCTTTGTCAGATATTGTTAATGTGTATCTAATGCAAACATCCTGCGGTGACAATAACAGCCCAGCATGCAGCGACATCTCAGCTTTAGTGCACAGCTGAAAGAACGTTTCACTTCACTTTATCGGCCGAGCTCAAAGTCTGAGAGTCATTTAAACATCTACACCAAATGTCACACTCTGGCTCCGTGTTGTTCACAAAACGCTGATGAGATGGTAACAGATATAAATGATAGAGAGTTTGGTGAACCCCATAGTCTTTGATAAGTAACATTATTCTGTCTTTTGTGCTTTGCTCCTTTAATGTAGTTAGACCTGTCCTGAAGCATGCATGCTGCTCCAGCAGAGTGTACTAAGATGGCAACTATTAATTATCAATAAAATAAGAAAAGTTTTATTTTTTTTCCAGGTATGCCAAGCCTTTTAAATGGTACTAAATCTGCCTCCGAAACACCTCCAAAAACCTTAATCTTTTAACACGATACCTTTGACTATAATAATATTCTATATCTGAACTCAGTCCATCTAGTAGATGCACAGTTACAATGCCAATGCCACAATACCTGTTTCTGTCAAGATGATCCCACACGCTTTTAATAAACTTGAGGTCCGGGCTCTGAGGAGGCCGGCCCATGACTGATAGTGTTGCACTGTGTGTTTTTCTATACAGATATGCTTTTACTGCAGTGGCTGAGTTTGGGATCATTGTTGTGCTGAAAAATGAAGTCATTGCCATTCAGAATTTTCCCAGACGGGATTGTATGGTACATCAAAATCTGATGGCAATTTTTTTTCCCTTCATATTTCCAACCATTTTGGCAAGATCCACAACAACATTGACTGAAATTCAGCCCCAAACCATGACAGAGGCTCCACCATGTTTTACAGATGGCTGTAGACACTGTTGTGCCTTTATCCTGTTGATGATTTCAACCAAAACTGTTACATTTGAATTAATTGATCAGACCTGTTGACTCTGATTGTCAGCTCAGGTGTTGTAAAATTTGGCAGACCTCAGCCTTTTCTCTCTGTTTCCCTTCCTTAAGAATGGCTTCTTGACAGTTGCCCTTTTTGAGGAGACTTCAATGAACAGTAGATGGATCAACTGGACTGGACTGCCAAGGACCAGCTGTATCTATCAGGTCCTGTGTCAGGTCATTGTTGGATTTTTATTTTTTAACTACTTCTTAAGGTCATGACTTTCAGATACTGCTTATCTGCTGTAGATATTTTTGTTTTGTCTTTTTAAATTCCTGCTACTTCTTCTTTCGTCCTCCTCTCGCCCAGTTTCCTCAAATATTTTAAGGAAGCACTACACACCGTGTTGAGATATTCTGTTTTTAGCTAATAGTGTTTTGGGAATCACTTTGTTGGAGCAAAACATTATTTTATGTTTATCAAACTGTGTTATATTCAATATTTTTCATAGATTCAACAAAAGATATTAGAAAAAATTGTTTTTGTAACAGGCTGCTTTTAACAAATTTAAAAGCGGTTCCTTGTTTTGTTGGCTGTTATGTATAGACGCAACACTGGTTCATCCCTTCAGTTAGATGGCTCTTTGTGCTTGAATGATTCATAGGTCACTGCTAAATGGCGTAATAAGTATCTCCAAAAATAGTACTGACCTGAAAATGCAACCAATTACCAGAGAAAAACTTTAAAAGACTTTCTGAAAACCCCAAGAACTATTGCTCAAGACCACTTTAAAACTACTAGAAAGTCTGGCTCCTTGGAAAGAAAATGTATAGAAATGAGACTTGCTCTCTCCAAAATAAAGTGAAAGCATCTTTTTTTTTTCACATAAAAGTCAGGTCACCAAGGTGCAATAATACAGACATTCTCTACTTAAGTAGAAGTACAGATACTAGTGTTGAAAAATACTCCAGTAAAAGTTAAGGTACTGATTCAAATTCTTCACTCAACTAAAAATGAAAAATGACAGGCTGTGAAGAAAGAAAGTAAAAGCAGCTCTTTTTCTACCACATTTTTTATTTATTTGGGGTTTTTTTTGCAAAGCTAACTGAACCTTGTGCTGTATTAATGTAATAATAAAATACTATCAGAAGATGGGAAAAAAACTTAGCTTGAATCAATTAATTAGAAAAACAAAATCTGGGGTAAAAAAGGAAAATTTAAAACTAGCTCTATTTTCTTTGCTTCTAAACAGGAACATTGGTACGGTCAGGGGTTAAAGTGAGACTCAGCAGGTGGAGAAACCCGAAAAATCAGTTTTAATGACTCAGCGTGGGAAAAGAAGCACAACTCAGATTTTCTTAATCTACATGCTGTGTCCGGCTGACCTGCTGCTCTTTGTAGCGTTTCCCTGTTAAGTTTCCCTGGCTGACTTCCATCCTCTACCACTGACTGGATACTGTCAGTGGTAACTTTTTCCTAGACACCCAGTGTGCACAAGTCACACACACATTAAACCCATCAGTGCAGCAAACCAACCTGTTTAACCTGCACTAACCTGCAGAGGATGTTCATGCAACATTTAAATAACACAGTTAGCCACAGTTAGTTTGTTTAACACAATGTTTCACAATAGGGAAAAACCATAATGTCACATGTACAGACCCAGTATCTGATTTAAAAACATGAGGAGCTACATTTAAGCTTTAACTTTCCAGTTTATCAAACACCACTGAGCTGTCTTTACTTTTAAATATAACCTCTCTTCTTCCTCTTTTGTCTTTCTTATCTTTCTCCATCTTCGAGTGTAGTTAGCTCTCTTTCTTTTCTCTCCCTGTCAAAAACAGCAGCTGGACCTTTTTATCTGTTTGTGTGCAGATAACCTGCACACAAACAGTCTGCATGCTTGCTGATAGAAATGCTGTATTTGAAATGACCTGTCACTTAAAAAATGTTACTGCCTTTATGCTCGCTTGTCTTCTGTGGGAGTAGCCAGATGCTGAAGTACAGCAACCTATGGATACTGCAGTCGTCCCGGTGCTGTACCAAAAAAAAGAAAAACAGAAAAAGAAAATACAACCAACTTTAACCCCTGACTTTGCCACACGATTGTGCCTCTTTGGTCTCTTTCTATCCTCTGGTGACTAATAAACGAACAGGATTTTCATGTGTTACTTTTTAGGCTTGATGTTTGAGGGCCAGTGACCCCTCAAATGCCTTAAAACCAAAAATAACGAGTGTGTTTTGAAAATGTAAGGAGTAGAAAGTCCAGATATTAGTTTAAAATTGTAGGGAGTAAAAGTACTACTCAAGTACAGATACCTGAAAAGTCAACTTAAGTACACTAACAAAGTATTTGTACTTTGTTACTTCCATCCTCTGCAGGTCAAAAATGTTAATAGATTTCTTCCTCTGGGTAACAGAAAAGTAATCGGATAGTTTTTGAGACTGACTCAGATAAACATTGTCATTTTTAAATCCTTGTCACAAGCACAGCTTTGCACCCTTAAAGAGAGTAAATTGTCATGTAAGGCACTGCAAAGGCAATGCTAGGAACACTGTGTTGTCCCAAGTGTTTGTGTTGATTCAAGAACACAAATTTAAACTTGTAAGTGGTGTGAGAAAGTGTTTCAGCGCTTTTTAAGGCAGCGTGACTTTTGTTGGTCGACAGAGACAAATAAAGGATCTTCCAGTTGAGTTGGTTCAGATAGTGGCAAAGTAGCAGCAGAAGCTTAACGAAGCGTCATTAATTCACAAGTTATTAAGGTGTATGGTCAAAGATCCACAGTCAGAATTAAAGTGCAGAGGTTATGAAGCATGAGCGTGTTCTGTATGTGGAGACTAAGACTGACAGCAGGGGGAGGCAAAGGTCCTGTTGAACCAAGTGGCAGTTTTATAACTGGTCCTGTTTATGTCTGTTAGAGAGTGTGCTGGTAGCACAGTTTCACTTTAACGGCATCACGAGAATCCCTTATCAACACAGCTTGAAGGGTTTACATCTGAGAGAAAAGGGAGCAAAAAAGTTCAAGTTGTTTTTCTCTGATAAGATGAATCACACAAAAAAAAGACTTTTCTGTTGGGTGAATCTGAGACTTTTTGGAAAGAGAAAGAAAGAAGTATCAATTTAACCTAAACTCTCTGCTGTTCAAAAAACAATATTTGTCATAACCAACCAAGTGAAGCTAAAGTTGGATGTACTTCAGTAGAAGCAGGAAGAGTGTTCGCCTGTTGAGTCACAAAGTTTACTATCACACTTTTTTTAAGCTCTTGTCAGCAGCCATCTATTTTCAGCCTGAGCTTTTACAGGAAATATTCTAGTTTCGTCTCTTTTGCTCAGTTCCATGATTTCAATAAAGGGAACTTCAACAAAGTTAGCGAACGGTGCTTATGATGAGCTACATGATTACGCTCACGACGCAGACCTTGACCCACAACACTGAAGCAGCACTTCAAGGTAACATGAGTGTTTTTATTGACTTAACCTCTGCTGCTTGACTTGGCTTACATAATCATATTGATTTAACGTGTCAACTTTGACTGTTTTGTTCATTTTAATCCATTTTCATTGTGTTTTTTAAACTTGTATTCTTAATCATATATTTATAATGTTACATTTTAACAGTGGAAGGTCTCTAGTTTAGAATCAACCTTTAACTTTCCATCTCAGCTATACTGCTAAACACTGTCTTGTGCTGTAGTTTGACAGATTATCACATTATTGTTTCAGCCATGCTTTTTGAACCATTTTGTTTCTTTATCTATAATTGCAGACCATGTATACCAATGGCACGGGAGGAAATAACACAGTCAGTGACAGTTCCTCCAACTCTTCTACAAATCTAGGAGTCGGGCTTGGGGTCTTCTTTTTGCTGCTTGCGATCATAGTTGGTGTAATCATTTATAAATTCTACGGTATAATCGCCAATGTGATGCTGTTTAGACAAAGAACAGCGCAAGAAAAGGAGGATCACTCAGAGACCCCACAAGCAGATTCCCATGAATATACTGGTATGATTCGAGAGCAGTCGATAGGACAATCTTCTATCTATGAAAACCTGAAACCTCAAACTCGTGGCTACAGCATGGAAGCTTCAAACCAAAGCAGGTGAGCTGCATTAACTGTTTTTTCTACGTGTAGATTTTCATAAAATGTATTTCTTGGAACACTTATGAAACTGCAGAAGCTCAAAAGCAACGGACGGAAGTGGATTAAGAAACGGTGTGTGTGTGTGAGAGAGAGAGTTTCCCCATTTTGCACAATCCTGTTGTGATATAGACAAATACAGAAACCCAAAGACTTTTACAGTTTACCTAATGAGACTGTTTTTCATCACATTTACTGTTTTCTTCAAAGGTTCCCAGTCGAATCTGATGACGACGTGTACCTGCAGTGCGACGTCATAGATGAGGCCATATACATTAATGACCAATCACATGACTGTCAAGAAGAAGACGTGTACGTTTTGCCAGATTAATCACGGGGCACATTTGTAGAAAGGCCTGCGCATTTTGCTCCACTTGTTGTATGCAGCAAGCTGTCTCTTTTGATTTCTGTCTCTGTTTTTGTATAACGATGTACAGCTAAAAGTCAGCACACTGCTACTGCTGCTTTTTGATACAGACTGACTGTAAACAGAAATGACTGGATGGTAGCAACATGTCAGTGTTATCTGTTATCTCCCATTTTGGAGGAGAGTAACAAACCTTTTTTTTTTTTTTTAAATTTAATCCACTCCCTCCTGGTACGATTATCTATGTTACACATCTTTGATTGCTACTATTATTGGCACATCTCATATTACAACCACGCTGGAAAACACTGTACAAATTTTGACAGCAGTCCAAGGTAATCAAGTTTGTGATTAGATTAGATTGTTTTATGGTGTTCTCTTGTAGTTACAGATGAGGCTTTACTTTGACCTTTGGAGAGAAGTGTGGGCAGTCTATCTGAGGTTTTGTGAGTCGTGTGTGTTCAGTATTGTCCTTTTTCTCTCACTGGAAATTCTTCACTTGGTCCTAAATCAAATCTAGAAACATTTAACTTGGGTAGATATTGACATCGTGTTATGTTTTTAGTATTTTGCTAAACAATGCGTCCAAAATAAATCCACGGTTTTAAAAACCAAACTACAGATATGGATATGGACACACATATCTTTGGAATTCCCCTTTTTGTGCAAAAACGTTTAACTACACACTGAATCTTTCAGATACCTTCATATGAGAAAGAATGAAGTGCAGTTTCAACAGTACATCTCAGTTTTTCTGCTGGAGTAAAGAAAAAAATATACTAACATGAAGAAACAAATGTGTAAAATTACCGAAAAGGTTCTGGCAGATTATTGCAAAGACTGTCCTGCAATAATAAAGCAAAGTCATTTATTGTTTTAGTTTTGTTGTTTGTTTTTTTTGTTTGTTTTTTATTGTGGACCCACTATAAAAATGCTCTCAATTTCTATCAATTAATTGTTTTTCTCTAACTTAATTACTTTAGTGCAGTCTGAATGGCCATGGGGGAGGCCTCTATCAGTAGTTAAAGCTGTAAAACCAACAAAAATACAGTGAGAAGTCCAAAATCAATGCTCTCCTTCACATTTTCCAGTGGGGCTGGATTGGAGTCTTTGGCGTGCCAATTCTGGCCCCCAGGACTTCAGTTTGACACCCCTGGCCAAACACAGGTTGCAGTGGTTTCTCTGAATTTTTTTTTCTGTTTGAATAAGGAAAACTATTTTGCTGACCAAGTCATCATAAAATTCAGCAGCAATTTAAACTAAAGGTCATCTTGTTATGGAATAGCAACCAGCAGCGACACCAATCATTTTTCATATCACGGACATGATATCATAGTATATTTACCCTAGACAAAGAAATATGTGTGCTTTCAAACATGTTACCACGGACGGACAGACAAACTTTTCTCTGTGGTTGTTGTTGCTAAAGCAAATGACTCAACAGTTTGTTGCAGTTACACACAGACGCAACTCTGCATGGTGAAAACATTACATGCGTTAGACCCGATAAAGTTAAATAATGTTTCAATATACTAAAACGTTTATGTAAATTAGAAATTAAAAAAGGGACAAGAGCGTTAAGTGAGAAGCTCGATGGCTCCCACATGATATATTTCTGGGATTTACTCTAGCGTGGGAGTGTATAGGCAGCCAACCAGATGTGTGGGATTTATTACTCCAGTTCATGCTATCACGCTACTGAGATAAGTTCATGGAGATAAGATGCAAAGAGCAGAATTTAAAAAAAAAATCTTATCACTTCCCAATATGAGGCTTTACAAACACTATATTAGGAACCAAAAAAACTTACGATTAGTAGTGACTGCTACACAAAAATGTTCATATAAAGCAGAAAATATGTGGTTTATGCAAAGGCAGGAAAAGATGGTCAGCACTATTTTCTCTAGTCTGTGGGTTGTCGGCTTTTTCAGGCGGGAGGTCCAGAGAGGATGTGAAAATCTGTCGTTCTTTTTACAGCTCAAGTCCAGATCTGCACGGATTTCAGAGAGCAATCGAAATATGAAAGCCACAGAATAACAAGTGAGGTCTGTGATTGTGTTTAGAGCGGTAAGGTGAAAATAGACTGGGAAGATTATTTTTAGCTTTGGTTCCAGTTATTCTGACATTAATTTCGCTGATTGTTTTCCAGGTAGGCTATTTGAGGATCCGAAGGAAGGGAAAGCCCAAACGAAAGCCTGTGTGTCTCAGGCCACGCACACACACACACACAGGACGGTTTAGTAAATGCTCTGCTTGCTTGTATCGTTTGGGTGGAATGCAGCTCAAAACCTTTCAGCACATGAGAATGAATGCCTTTACATCCATTTACACACGACTGTGTAGCAACCCTGAAGATGTCATCTTTGAAACAAAGCATTAACAGGACAAAAGCTAAGAAAAGAATGAGCAGTGACTCAACCGAGAGGCCCCACAGATGTTCCAGTAGGTCTGCTTAATCATCTATTAACTCAATCAGCTCAGTATGTCCCACTTTTTAAAAAAGCTCGGTCTATTGATCGCAAAGCAGCATGTGCTCCTGTTTAACTGACCTTTATCCCTTTCAAGATAAAAAAACAAACCCTATAAAGCACTTACTACAGCCAGTTGTGTCATGCCAGATGTCAATTTGCTCACTTTTTACCACAGGCTCTGTTAATATTTCCTTTTCACCCTAAACCTTGAGCTGTAATTATGAATATAGCATTTCTATCAGCAATTA